TACTGTACATATTATTAGGTTGTATTTTAATCTTGGGGCTCTGGCATAATTTACAAGTTACTCAAAACTCTGTTTTTATGATTTATATTATCGACAGAAACCTTAAAAAATACACCCTTGTACAATTACAGAGACGGAAATAGTTTATATATGCACACAAAAATAAACTACTTTTTTATTTACATAACATTTAAAGTGTAAGTTGTTAAAGGTATCCTTTGCCAAGTACACCCAGTAATCTTTTAAGTCACACTACTGAGAGAGAAATATACATCACCCCACAATACATACTATAGAGAAAGCTATATTGCTACTTCTCTTCCATAATTATTTGTTTATGAAAAATATTTAAAAATGTCAGTAGCCCTTCACATTTGATCCACATACTTTTCTAGGGAAGAATCAAACCAACTGTAAAAGATTAATGGATATTCTTCCTAAAAAAGTGATATCTCCCAAGGTAATTAAGGTGTTTAATAGATATAAGGTCATGACTGAAGAAACTTTCTGTGCCCACTGAGAAGAAAATATTTGGTTTTGCTATCATCGTTCAAAGTCCTGGTCTTCATCACTCTGAAGGGTACTGCAAGGCCTTTAAAGAGATGCAGACATTTCAACTCATAACAGGAGGGAGGACCTGCTGGAAAACACCTCCAGTGATTTTTTTTATTATTATTATTCAATAGAAAGTTTGGCCTGAATTGAGCAACTATTGGCCACATATTAAAAACGCCCCCTTCTCTCCCCCCCTCCCCCACAACAACTAATAAAGGGGGAGTGGAGCAATATTTATTGACAAAAACCAAACTGATAAAGGCAACTAACTTTTGGCACTGGCTAATTGTTTGTACAAGTCAGATACTACTGGCCTGGCCTGGGGAACTGGTACGCTCTGCTCTTCTCCTCTCCCCTTGCTTTCATAAAGGTGTATGTATTTTTAAATTATTCTTTGGTGTAATAAGGAAGCACAGAAGAGCTACAAAAATACAACACAGAATCAGCAACACACACATGTGCATGCGCATATATGACGATATCTATCCTACTCTCACTCCCTACGCATTACACTGGTTTTCACCCTGCAAGCCAACAGAAAGGAAACCAGACAAGCTCTCGAGAGGTCTCCAGCAAAGTCTCACAAACAGTTCTGACATTCTCAGTGCAGCTGCAAGGATGAGAAGTGGGAAGAGAAAGGAAGAGCGAATGTGCTTCGGCAAAGGGCCCCTCGTGTTCACTCCTGAATGAGTTAAAGCTTTAGGAGCGGAGGTTGGGGCGCAACAAAAAGTGTGACAAGCAGAGAAGGAGCCAGGCACTGTAAATCCAGGCACAAACGCACGAGGCACGCCAGCAGCAAGTGCCCAGGGCGAGGTGTCCGGGGAGGCGCCGGGCTCGGAGCCTTCATGAGCTCAGACCTAGCGTGTGTCCCTCTCCTGCTGGGGGGCTGCTGGCAGAGCTGCTCTTCGCTCGCTCTGGCCGCCACTTCCCTGAGCTGCTGATTGCTGCTGCAGCCGCTGCCCCAGCCCTCTATCGCGCTGGCTCACGGCCTTTTGCGGGGAAATTTGGGGCTGTTGAGGAAACCGCCAAATCCCTTGGGTTGAATCGCCGCGTGAGATTCAAAGGGGCTTCCGCAACACCCGGAGCTGCAATCAGGGGGCATTGGCCCCTGTCTGTTCCCATCCCCAATCGCCTGGGTGGCTCCCCAACGTGATTGCCGGGACATGGAGAGCGGGGGGAGGGGGGTGAACTTCTCCAAACCAACCAGCGTCTTGCCTCCTGCAGAACCTGCTGGCTTCAGCTGGCCGGGGAGTCTCTGTCTGCAGCCTCAGTGGGTGGCCCAGCAATTAGCCGGTCACTGCTTGTGTAAGGTCCGGGAGATGCACATTGCCAACCCTCCCTGCGTCTAAGAGTGCCAACCTCAGCCCTACAGAGCAGAAAGATGCATCCTCCCTCCCAGCATCTTTGTGGCCTCTATACATACCCTGCCTGGAGGGATGCGTGCAATGGAGTTAAGGCAGGCAACTGCCTCACAATGACAAGGAAAGTTACTTCTTCTGCATGTAAGGACCTTAACATTTGGGAAAGTACCTGCCAAGGTTTGTCCAAGCATCTCTGGTCAGACCTGAAATCAGCAATACTTCTCTCGCTCTCTAAACCCAGGGCAAGCTGCACTGACAGCTCCTTAGTTTAATACGTATTCTCCCTCTGCAAAAAAAAATCAACCAATTGCTAGGGAAATTACCTTCTAAACTGCACTGACTGGATTAACATCCCATTCTGAGTGATTTGCAAGGGTGCGGGGGGGGTAATTTGTGTCACCTACCCCCCTCCGCCTCCCTCAAGTGCACTTTAATAAAAAAACGTGCAGACTCTGGCCAAACTACGTTTGATGTATTGATTCCAAGTACAGTGCATGGTTTGGTTTCCGTACATTCTTTGGCTTTTAATAGCTAGCTGAGAAAAAGAGAAAGCATTATTGTTTTCTTTCTTTCCTTCTCTCATTGCCTATTCTAAATTTGACTCCGAAGTTTAAGCAGTTGAATTGGCTAATTCTGAATACAGGCTATTGAGAGACCAGACACAGCAGTATATCCCTGTATAGCAATGGATACAATGTGCTGAATTGGCAGTCTAATTATAAATGTGGCATTTGGACCTCCTTTCAGACCCAGTGCCACCTTACCTTATGAGGGAACTTCAACTACAGCAACTGTTCAAAACAAAATGCCATTACAGGATCAACTTCACCCAACAGTGGGACTAGCCAGGGGATTGTTTTACAAACAGCCTTTCTCACTTAACACAAGAATGTATTATAAGAAACAAAGTTATGGATAGTACAGAGTTTAAAGAAAATGCTAAGTAGTTCCTGCCAGGTGTTGTGCTACTTCAAACTGCTGCATAATCCAAGTGACCTAATTATTTTCTTTTCAATGTATTCACTATAAATAGATTATTTTTATTTTACTAGAATGAAATGCTAGGGATGGTCACTATTTATAATGTGCATACGGTGTGTATATAACATCGTGACTATTGAACACAAGAAATCTCATGCCAGGAGGAACCTGCAATAAAGTCGTGGAAAATAGCTCGTGATACGCAGTGGGCTTGTGGAAAAGTAAAAAAGGCGGGCGTCTTTTCTATTCAGTATTTGTATATAATGGCAGCCTATAGTCATACATCTCATCCATTTCATTATTTACTTTATAGCATAATTGCTTAATTAAGTGAGTTGGGCACAAGCATGTCAATAAAACAAGTCAAGTCAAGTTAAAGTCTCAAAGCAGGCTTCAGAATTACCCCCTTACACGAATATGCAAAAGGAGAAATTCGTTTATTTTCTGTTGAAACCCTGTGTTGAGGGCTGCGCATCCTTTGGATCAGTTTTAAAGATGGAAATATTAAAAATGTCAAAATAAATATAAAATAAAAATTCTTTTAAAAGTTGCCGACCATGTGCGGAGGGCTATTTAAATGAACCCAGACATATACCTTATCTGCATACAACAGGCGAAAAACATGCTTCTTTATCTCTGAAAGTTTCACTGTCTGTGTTTTTGGGAAACACCCCTAGGACAGAGCTAATCTCTCCTCCCCAGGCTCCCAACACGCTGACTTTCTCTTGTAAAATACCCCTGACACACTCAGACACAACACTAATTGTCTTTTCACGTTGCCACTTTCACTCTTTCCCGTCCTTAAACAAAACCCTGTGAAACGGTCCTGTCCAAAGCAAAGGCAGCAATCAAATCGATATGATCAGTGTCTCTGATTCACCTCAAGGCCCTGCTCTCCTAAAAGCACGCAGCCCTAGCGGGTTAACTGTTCAATGCTGTTAAACAGAAGTAGGAAACTGAGCTGGCAAGATCTCGTCGGAAGAGTAATTCACTGACAGCTAAATTATTAATGTACATGTGTATGTATCTGATCATATAACGTGTGTGATCACACACAAACACAGACCGTGTCACACACGGATGCACACATACAGACATATACACAAGAATAACCACCAGCATGCCCAGTACCTCCTACTTTAAAGATTAGAACTCAAGAAGTAGAAGAATTATTAGTTCTTACTGATCATTCTTTTCAGAATCATGAATGGAACAATTGCCAAAAACGCAAGAAAAATAAACACACTCACGAGATGATTATACACAGATACAGTGTGTGTGTCTATTACATGCATTTGTAGCGAACTCAGAGTTTTCATAAACCTAAAATCATTATTTAGGATAAAACATCAAACCTGATTACATAAAGAGGCGGCTTCTCCATAATCAAACACACCAACAGCTCCGAAAGAGTGAAAACTCGAGAAAGCACACGCTCTCCACAAACATACCGTGCCTCTCACTCAGATTCTTACAGCATTGTCTATAAACTGCTACTATATGTAGTTGCATTGCGATTAATTAAAAACAAAAATAAGGGAAATACTTCCTGAAAACTTACGTTGCATTTAGCTTAGGTGCTATTCTTTTTTTCAGCTCGCAAAGGAAGCCGTTTTGTCCAGGTTAGGTATTGTCTACTTATGGATCAGCCCCTGGCTAAGGGTTTATTTTAATTTATGGCTTATGCATTCTTTTAAGGTCGATTTGCATGACCTCCGGCGAGAGCTAAGGCAGCAAGAAATCCCAAATTGAATGTTGTGGGCAAGCCCACAATGCAGCACAGCTCTCCCTTTCTCATGGTGTAAACAGAGCTCTCTGATGATGGTCCTCCCCCCCCCCTCCCTTGTGTATCACAAATTAGGGTGTGATATCAATTTTAAAGTTTTCAGTATAACTTTATCCAAGCCTTCTGCCTGGAGAGATAAGACGCCACCACAGGAACTGCAAATCCTCGGGATAGTGCCCCTCTGTGGCCAAACGCAATATTACTACCCCCACTGGTCCAATATCTTTGTATAATATGCTCCACGAATAGCACATTTGTGGCAAACTTCAATGCAATTACCCACCTCAAACTTAACGGAGAATTTAAAATCGCTATAAAAAGTCCTTGCATCCTCTTCCATTCTGTTTCTTTGGGTCTATCCACGGAGGACAAACCCACGCGACCACTACGGAGTAATGACAGCAGCTTTCTGCTCTGAAAGATTTATTTAGGGTTTCTTTCTCTCTCTGGTGTTACTGTACGTAAGAAACTATCTCCCTAGCACCATGTGTTCTCTGCCGTGGGTGATCTTAAAATACAACGCTGATCTGTCACTACATTTTAAAATAGATTCAACTCTCGGGGAGGATGAGAAAGTGTTGTGATTTCAAGGAAGTGGAGTCCTTAAGGTCCCTGAAAGATTTCACAGCCTTGGAAACCTCACACACGGAGGAGACTGTAAGTACTTTTCCTAAAATAAAATAAAACCCTCGTGGTATAAAAGTAAATAATCGCGCAGGGGGAGGGGGTTAATTCAGAATGTTAAAAGCTAACCAACACATCTACCTCCGGACGCTGCTGCTTTAGACAATCGCAACTAACAACCCATTAAAGACAGCGCAGGGGAACCCTGATTCTCTCCTGCAAAGCGACATAAATCCAGCGAAACCCCATTAAAACAACACCACCACCACCACCACCAAGCAAGGCTGCACTACACACCATAGTAAACAACAGGTATACAACACAATAGGGCTTTTTTCCCCCTGGTTACCTCCTCGGAATCCGGTGTGGCACAAAGCATTGGGAGAGTCGCCCCCCCCTTTTTTTTTACGCGCTTCAGTAATTTTCATTAAAAAAGGGGCAAGGGGGTGTAGGAAGGAGAGAAATAAACGGGGAGTAATTCAGCAAATAAAATAAAAATAAATGCACTAAAGTCTGCTGATGTTTCTCCGGGCCATGGCTGTGCAGGATCCGGATCGTTAGAAGTTTGCTGATGGGTTGCCTGGAGATTTGGTTACAATCAGGTTCATTATTATTAATTTTTTTCCTCCTGAAACAAGTGAAGGCGATGGTTACTGCTGTCAATCTTGGCAATCAATGTGAGCGGCCATGTCGTAAGTATTCAAAGCATTTCCCGTCGTGCAACATCAGAAAGTGAGTGGCCAGGGCATTGATCTGAGGAAGGCAAGAGGAGGCAGGGCTCCCCCTCCCAGACAGCAGAGGCAAGATGAGACAACACAGTGAGAGCGAGCGAGCGAGCGAGCGAGCGAAACGCAACAACCGAAGAGAAAGTGAGCACAAAACAGAAAGTGAAATCACCCCAGGCTGCCAGCCGCATCCCCGAGAAGCTATCACCACTCACATTGCTATTAGACAAATGAAACCTTAAACCTCTCTCGCCTAATGACCACTGATTGCTCTGAGTGGTGAGAAAAGGTAACAAAGTTACGGGGGGGCCGGAAAAGCAGGAGGGGGATGTGGAGAGTCCTGGGAGAATTGAGTAAGAAGAGAATAAACTAAAGGAGAAAAGAATCGTGTTACACACTGACACCCTCTCCCCCAAGTACTTTAAAGGATGTGTTTAGGGCGCATACAAAAGTCAGAAAGGACCCGTGTTCAAGAAGACAAGGAGAAAAATCTGGAGGGCAAGGGATGGACATCAAATACAAGTAAAAGCAGCAAAAAACAAAAACTCTTATTGCCAGTTGGCAAGTGGGTAGGAGCCCTCTCCCAAAGCTAAATCTGGGTAAATCCAGATGAAATGTATAAATTACACTAGAGATGGGAATCCAGATACAGGCTAGACAAACCCACGGCTGGGGGGGGAGGGAAGGGAAGAGAGAGAAGGAAAAAGGGGGAGTGCAAAGTATAGAGTGATGCATTCAACTGAAAGATAAAGAAGATGCACATAATTAAAACAAAAGGAGAGGCACGATCTGGGAGGAAATATCTGATACAGAACAACAGATTCAGGTTGAAGTTCTGGTTCTGCTTGTGATGACGAGAGCTTTATCTGCGGCAAAAAATGTACAGCTACAAAAAGGCAACAGACAGGAAGTGAACAGTGATTTAGGAACTAGCGCTTCCTCATAAGTGTTAATGAAAAAGCAAATCTGGGGGGATGAAGATACAACTGTAAGTGGACCAGGAGTAAATCAACCAGTGGCTTGGAGTGCTGCAACAATCAGAAAGAAGGTCTAAATGGTTTACTTTTAAATTCCAAAAGGCAAACGTGAAAGAGGCTTTACAAACTGTCGGGGGCCCGAGGATCAGGTGGGCAAACCAAATTGTAAAACTAGCGTCTCTCCCTGTTGATATGATCCACACCTTAGCTAAACTATTGTAAGTCCTGGAGTGCGGAAAACAGCCTCCTGGAAAGAGGGAGAGAGAGGGGAAAAAGTTGTTGATTCTTCTTTATATTTTTGGCAACCCTTTTCCCATTTTCCAGAAGGCGCCTGGAACTGTTAGTAACAGAGAAACTTTTTAATTTTAAATGGCTTCATAGGTTCTAGAGGCCAGAAAGACGAGCAGAAAGGCTGAATTTCCATGCTCTCTCTCACACCCAAACCCAAATTTGCGGAGTCGGTTAGAAACAGAAGTACAATCATCTACTGCAAATAAACCTTGCTCTCCAGGAACATGCTGAAAATCAGCATTAGCGTGATGACATAGGATTGATTCGACCTGGTTCTATTTTCTTTTCTTTACAAGTTTTACAACTTAAAACTCTATTAAGAGATATAAATGTTGCATCATCTTCCTTGCTATTCAAAGTGTTTTATGCTATTGCCCTTCTAGTCAAGTCCTGGAGAAATTAGTTTAAAGTAAGAACCTGTAGGAATAACAAGCATTTAAAAAATATTTTGGGCAATTCCACAAAATAAAGGGAATCAGCCTATCATTTTGTAAGCAGATCACCTCCAAACAGAACTTTTAATTTATTCAGAGACTCTCATAATAGCTAATTTGAGGATAAAGTGACTGGCTACATTAAGTCTCATGTATTCTTTCCATTTAAATAAAAGTGCTAAAATCTACAGTCAGGCAGAGGGACTGTAGTTTATAAGGTATTTAAGTGACTGTACATTCACCTGGTTTCAGCAACTTCAAACCATTCACCTGCCTTTATTGCCTTGTGCACAGATTTAGAAACAGGAAATAACTCTCCTTTCTAGGTACTATAGAGATTTTTTTAAACTAATTATAATGCCCGGGATTTGACAGTAATGACTTTATAGTGATACATTGAAATATTTCACAAATGAAGACACCTTCACTTTTTGCATAATTTGTAACCTATTGGCACAAGAAATTGAGATTTGTAAGAAAAAAGATCTAGTCAATATACAAAGAAAAGATTCTGATGCGTATCTACTGTCCCATCAATTTGCTGCTGAAAGTTTTTCCTCTTTTTTAAACATTAGCAGTTATATCATCTCTTTCGAACAACTGAAACTATCAAGTCCTAGGTGCTAATGAACATCAAACAATTAAAAAGCCAGAAGAATTTAGGAAGTTTCAAAGCCCAACTAGCTCTTAATCTGAAGAGCATCTCTTCACCACCGAAACTATCGTGCAAAGAATGAAATGAAGTCGGGGCAGAAATGCACGGCACAGATGGGTTGCGTTCAAATAAATAACTTGGGCAATAAACCTTGTTGCTTCCTTTAAATTAAGCTACAGGTGTAAATATACACAGAGGTAAAAGATGGACCGCATTAAAAAAGTCTCATTGTGCATTGTATGTAAATATGGGAGGGTTGTGCTCTGCGGATAACAATTTTGTATTTATCTCTCTGAATGCTGAATAAGTGATCATATGCTGTTTAGATATGCAGTGGAAGAGAGAAAACATTCTTTATTTTTAGTATTAACACAAGTTTACCGCTCGTTAAATTACTCTGGTTGCCTCTCACTGCTAAAGGCTAGCCACAGCAGCGCAGCCAGATGTTGAAGAGGGATGCTGAACATTTCGTGCTGAGGTTCCTTTCTCGCTTCTACAGTGAAGGAATTAGAGGCACTCAGCTACGTTGGAGCACTTACCTGTTCACAGCTGTCACTGCATTTTGTGCTGTGCCACTCATCTAATACAGGCATGGAAAACAGTGTCCAACATGCAAAGCAACCTGTGTCTCAGTGCTGTTGTGCCACCTCCTAGAGAAGATGAGCAAACCTAGGACTTATAGAATTCTTGGTATAGTCTAAAGTTTGTATACAAAGGGTAAGCAATTCTATATTAGAAGGCATTCACCAAGCAATAAAAGCCCTCTTATTAATGCCGGACAATTAGTAGGCATGCTTATAAATTCACTGGTGACACACTCCGACAAGGACGACTGTTTATAGGTTGTAAAAAAAAAAAAGGATTCAAAGTGTTCAAACTTTAAGTGTCAGAAAGAGGTAAAGGAAAAGGAGTTAAAAACTTATGCGACAGGGAGAAAAGTTTTTTTAAACTGATACCAAAATTACTACATGTTTCTCTATAGGCAAATCCATCAGATGATTTGAGTTCCCCAATAACAGCACCCTTGGGTGATATTCTTAAAAAAAACAGGGGGGGGGGGACCGATTACATTTTAGCAAGGACCCAATTGAAAACAAAACTCTGAATTCCTTAAGGCGTCATTTGCTAACAATGTATTGTCCTTTTGGCGGAAGCAAATCAAAGGAACATTTTAATTTCATTTGAAACTGTGCATCATCCTGACAGAGAAGCAAAGAAGCCGCAGTAACAACAACCCCCCAAAACCGGCAAACCACATAAACTTTTACAAAGAAAATAAAAGCAAGTTTGACATGAAACCCCTTCCTGTCTCGGAAAGTTCATTTTAAAGGTCTCCTCTGTAAATCTAAAGTGCAAACACTAGGCTAAGGTAGTGAGTGGCTGGAATTTGCATGCTGATAAGAGAAGGCTGTTGTACTTACAGTGACAGAGGGCAGGCTGCGGAAGAAAAGCTGTTTGTGTTAGCCTGAGAGTCACCCAGGGCTGCAATGAGAGGAGAGGAGAGGAGTGGGAGTGCCAAGCTGGATACACCTTCACCGCATCTCATCACATCTGCCAGCCTCTCTCTCCCTCTCTCTTTCATTTCCACATTCCCTTTGTTCCTGAAAAAAAAAATCTACACGTCACATCAGAGTCCCCAGATGCAGTCTACACCAAAGAAAAAAAAATGAATAATTCAATCAAACTGTGCATAGTCTCTAAGGCAATAAATCTATTGCACTTAAAGAAACGAAGGGTAATTACCGCTATGGAATTAAAATCAGGCCAAAGAGCGGAGGGATCTCAGGGTCTGTAAACTCCACGGTCAAATAAAGTTGCATTTACTTAATCCTTTGACATCTCCAATGTAAACTAAGGGGGGAGGAGATCTGAACTTATTCCGGATGGGTTTGAAAATGCTTGGAGTGAGGGTCACAAAATCAGAGAGCGTGATCAGTGAGAATACAATGCA